AGTGTCTTTATCCTACTCATCAGGAAGTGGACTTCCCTGGTATCTTCCTCCCGAGGGCTCCAAGGGCGCCAAATTCGGCATTTCTTCAGCGGAGCATTATTAAACTCAGGGAGGCCCGTCCGGATTGGATCCGAAAGGGGAACATCATCCACATAAAACCACTCTGAGGGCCAGTTTTTAGATGCCTTCTTTGGAGTGCCGGACAGGTATCCGCTCTGGGCGACGCGCCATATTTCGGCTCCGCCCACTTGATATATAGATTCCCCATGATTGCGAGGGACGAGGCAAAATAACTTCTTCCATAACTCGAAGTGAGCCTTGCAGCCCAGAAATAATTCGCAAAGGGCAACGCATCCTGCGATGTGCAGCACGGAGGCGGGGGTGAAATTGTGCAACTGGAGGCCATAGAACTCCAGGAACCCGCGAAGGAATAGGTGGATTGGAAACCCGACGCCTCTTAGCAAATATGGGATGAGGCATACTCGCACCCCCTGAGATGGGTTAGGAGATCTCTCCGCTTGCTCCCCGCCATTGTAGGTGGCTAGTCCGGCTCATACGGGGACCATGAACGCCGGTGGAAGAAACCCTTGGGTCTACAACTCTACTAAACGGCTATGGGGAACAGAACATTCTTACCAATCACCTAGCTTAGAGCTAAGGGAGCGAGAAGAGGAGCTGCGGCGACCGACCATGTTGGAATGGTTTTTTCCGAATGCGCTCTGTTGGATGCTTGCTCAAGGGAAGAAAGTGAGATTTGGATCTGAGGATCCCCGTCTCTTCAAATAGACGGTTTGCCTACAGGGCCGGGGTGGCAAATGTAAAAATGCTCCGGCTCCTCGTATTCGCTCGACACGTGGAGATGGCCATTATTGAAGCACAGAAGCCGAGGAGTACAACATTGATGGGAAGCCAGACACTGTTCGTTACAACAGGTACTTTGGAGTATTTGGAGATGGAACCTGCCTTGCAATGCCAAAGACAATCTGCGCGCCGGACTCATCGTCATTGAAGCCTGGTTCAGGGGCTACTGAGGGAGTCCTGGATTAGGGGGTATCTGGACAGCCGGACTATATACTTTGTCCGGACTGTTGGACCGTGAAGATACAAGACTCAAGACTTCGTCCCGTGTCCGGATAGGACTCTCCTTTACGTGGAAGACAAGCTAGGCGATCCGGATATTAGATCTCCTTCTTTGTAACCGACTTTGTATAACCCTAGCCCTCTCCGGTGTCTATATAAACCGGAGGGTTTAGTCCATAGAGGGACGGTCATAATCATAATCATCATAGGCTAGCTTCTAGGGTTTAGCCTCTACGATCTCGTGGTAGATCAACTCTTGTAATACTCATATCATCAAGATCAATCAAGCAGGAAGTAGGGTTTTACCTCCATCGAGAGGGCCCGAACCTGGGTAAAACATTGTGTCCCCTGCCTCCTGTTACCATTAGCCTTAGACACACAGATCGGGACCCCCTACCCGAGATCCGCCGGTTTTAACACCGACAGGGATTTTTGCAAAAATACCGCCGCGACGACTAATTCCGAACGAAGGGAGTAAGTACCCTAAGGCAAAGGCCCATGCGTTGACAATGACGATGGAGCGTCGTAGGGTGGAGCAGCGATGGGGATGCAAGGGCCCAGGCTGGCAGTGGAGTCGAACTATCCAACTGTTTTCAGGTTGCATAGCATTCATGTAATTGTTGTAGCAATTCATTGTCTAACTACTATTTAAGATTCTAATGAAGTGATAATTAGACTTTTTTTATTCTTTTGCAGTACACTAGCAGGGCGGAGATATCTTAATAATTGCTTAAAGTATCGCTTGAATATTGATGGATGGGGCTTTTGGAGTTCTTCTAATTTACTAAAAAATTGAGTCGAGGAGCTTTCTTATAAAATGTTGCCAGAATGACCACTCTTGCGGTTTGCTGGAGCTCATGTTCTATAATTACATATTCACTAGCACATGTGCCCATGCATTGCAACGGGAGAAACAACAGAATTGTATCCGCAAAACACGTTCAGTTCATGCAAACTTTGATCTTAACCAAGATCCATGGGAACATCACTAAAAAAGTTTTAGTGCGGTACTAATGATACACATCTAATTAATTGTTCCTGTCTTGTCAAGCATCTCATCAAAATCTTAAAAGAAAATATTTTCCTCGCAAAAAAATCTTTTAAACTTTGTAATCATTTATTAAGAAAAAACATAATATTTTCTTTACCATCACAACAATTATTTGTTCCAACCTTAGACATTGTTGTGTGCCTTAACTTACCTGGACAATACCTATTCCCTTTAATAGTAGGTATAGATATAGATAGATGATGTATTAATATTTTACATATTCTAAATTTTGGATGTTTGTATTTTATAATCTTTTTTGTGATGTACTCCGTATAATATATGGGCACGCAAATATTACTTTAATCTTATTAGAGTCGTCGGGCCCACTATACCCGATCGCACTAAGGCCGCTGAAATGTCAGCGCCGGCCGTGGGAGGGTGGCGAGGAGAGACTATAAATATCAACCCGGCGGGCACCGCAGCAGGACTCGTCTTCCTTGTTCCTTCCTCCCGGCCGAACTCCAGGCAACGAACCACCGTGTCCTCCATCCATTCCACCCAAATCCCAACCCCCTCCCTCCCTCCCCCGTCTACCCCCAGCACGAAGCGCCGCTCGTCGGCCGGCATGCCGGACTACGCCGCTCCCCCGGAGGACCAGGCGCTGGAGCTGGGCCCCAGGCAGCCCCTCTACGCCGCGTTCTACCTCGCGCTCCTCGTCGCCTGGGTCCCCACCAAGGTGCGCGCCGTCGCCAGCTGGCTATCCAGGGGCCCGCGCCCGCGCCCGCCCCGTCCTCCGGTTCCGGTGGCGGACGGACGCGGTCCGGTCCGGGGGATTGGGATTCCTCCCCGCCGCATCCTGAGCCTCGTGGAACTGGAACTGGATCCGGCACAGGTGGCCGCGGTGACCGCGGCCCTTGTCGGGGCCTTCTCCATCGTGCAGCGCCGAGCCGACGCCTCCGCCTCCGAGTCTGAGTCCGACTCCGACTCCGACTCCCATGCGAGCGGCCACCACAGCGATGTGCACCACCGGTACCCGCCCATCCACTCGCTGGAAGCGGGGGATGGCCGCCTCTTCTTGCCGGCCTCCGATCCTCGTCGACAGGGCGACAGACTGTGCAGGTATATACATGTGGCAACCACCGCCAATCCCTTTTTTTTCCCTACTGTATGTTTGACGATTATTTTTGCTCAATCAATTGGTGATCATGTCCGATTGCAGTGCTCAATCCCAACGGTACCATTAGTGACCGCAGATCAGTTATTTTCTCTGCATTTTCCCCTTTCTCTGTACAATAAAATAAAATCAAAACAGGGCTCCTTTTGCTCTCTCTGAATGTGCCTTTTCTTTTTGCGTTTTTGGCGGTTGTGCGTGCCTTTTCCGTATCCAGGAGAAGGGGCCAGCTTGATGTTCTTGCCCCATAGGTACAGTCAATTGATTGGTACGTACTACTTACTAGTGCACACGAATCGCAATCTCTTCAACCAGGGACAATCTTTTCAAATGCTCGTTTTGGATATCTGGTCTTAGTAACCCTGTCTTCCAAATGTTGATGTTCAAACATGGTTAAACTGTGATGCTTAGGGGACACAGCGGAGCAGGATGTGCATCCATGGCCT